TTTCTTTCTTTCTTTCTTTCTTTCTTTCTTTCTTTCTTTCTTTCTTTCTTCCTTCCTTCCTTCCTTCCTTCCTTCCTTCCTTCCTTCCTTTCTTTCTTTCTTTTCTTTCTTTCTCCTTCCTTCCTTCCTTCCTTCCTTCCTTCCTTCCTTCCTTCCTTCCTTTCTCTTTTCTTTTTCTTTCTTTCTTTTTTTTTTGAGACAGGTTTTCTCTGTGTATCCTTGGCTGTCCTGGACTCGATTTGTAGACCAGGCTGGCCTCAAACTCACAGCGATCCTCCTGCCTCTGCCTTCCTGAGTGCTGGGATTAAAGGCTTGTGCCACCATGCCTGGCTCTCACTCTTATCCCTTCTCCTTTCTTGTGCTTGGAAGTAGAAGGGCTTTCACTGGAATAGTGGGACATCTCTCTCTCTGTTTAAGGCTGAGGGTGAAGGATGCCTGTCTTAGAGTTTTCAAGTAAGCTGGCAGGGACAGAGGAATTGCCATTGTTCTTTGTGGCTCTAGGGGACTGTATGGCCACTGGGCAAATAAGAGCAGCTTTCAGTTCAGTAGTCCTGGTCCACGGATGAAGAACTCACATTCTTCCATGTCAGGACAGGAAGAGAGGGGCATTAACGGATGAAAAGTCCATTTTGAGGCAATGCAGGCATAAAGAACAGCTTAGAACTGTGGACTTCATTTGTCTTGGTCTCTGTACCACCCCAACCCACCCAAACTCTAAGCAAAGCACCTAGCAACCTTTTAGCAACCCAGGACCCCTATTTGCACAGAGCTGCATGTATATGTGCTTTAAACAATAGAAATAGTCATTCTTCTTAGCAATACCTTGATAACACCCCATTTTCATTCAAACACATCCTAGAACACAATCCAGGGCTATGGACAATGAGCTGATCTGGCATAGACTGGATTTGGTTGCAAGCATAGTAGGTTAAATTATGTCCTCAAAGTGAGCTTTTGGAGAGGAGAGAGGACTTCTGAATTATCATCTTATGCATACACATATTTGGACATACATAATGGTTAAAATCAGATATGTCCTGGGAAGGGACACAGGCAGTGATTAAGGTTCACACACTCAAAGCCTGTCAATCAAAATAGTAAATTATAACCCTAATTACCAAACTTCTCTTTTTGAAGCCCATAAAGTGAACCCCCAAACAATAATCAGGGCCCCTCAGTACTCTCACTCATGTGTCTTGTTGTCAATATTTTGGTTTTTGTTTGTTTGTTTGTTTTGAGACAGGGTCTCTCTGTGTTGCCCTGGGGCTTACTATGTAGACCAGGCTGACCTAGAACTCACAGAGATCTGCTTGCCTCTGCCTCTGCCTCTGCCTCTGCCTCTGCCTCTGCCTCTGCCTCTGCCTCTGCCTCTGCCTCTGCCTCTGCCTCTGCCTCTGCCTCTGCCTCTGCCTCTGCCTCTGCTGGAATTAGAGGGATTCCCACCACACCCAGCTTTGCTGTCAATATTAACAGTGTATTTCTGATCGCTTCTATCATTCTGCTTTGAGTAAATGTTCTTGCTACTTGGAAATTTGTGTGGGTTTTATTTCACTTTTGAATGAGACACCAAGAATCTGGGCACACTTAGCCCAGAATCCACCGATCTTGGAATTCTAAGTTCTTACCAGTCTTGACAGAAAGCCTACAAAATGGCCAAGTGAAAAGGAACAGCACAGGTACTCATCTGTATAAGCCTCGCGCAACTAGAAGTGTGTCTGTGTTGGAGGAATGATAACCAGCAGGAGTGGGAGTGTTGCTATGTGGAAAAACTAAAACCTGTTTGCCAAGGAAATGCTGCTGAGTGTGTGGACAAAAGAGAATCCGAATGCACCGCTGTTGGGGATGTAAACTAGTCCAGACGCCATGGAAATCAGTGCAAGGTTTCCCTCCAAACTGAAAATACCTCTCCCATTTGGTCCACAGACACTTGGTCATCCATGCTTATTGCAGCTATTCATTATAGCTAAGTTATGGAACTAACATAAGTGTCCATCAACAGAGGGATGGGTAAGGAAAATGTATATATACACACTGGAATTGCTTGCAGGAAGATGAATGCTCCTGAAGATAATACAATTATTAAGCATGTCTCAGAATTAAATAAATTAAGCATGTCTCAAAAGACAAATATCCTATATTCTCTCTTATTTGTTGTTCCTAAACTTTACATAGATTCATAAAACCATGTATGTACATATGGCATGAAAGTGTCTAGGGAACAGATGGTACTAAGGGGAGAGGAATGGGAGAGAGAAAAGAGGGAAGTGGAGTTGGGGGAATATGCTCAACACACATTATCTATGTGTCCGAAAACGTGCCTATGCAACATAACACCAGGTAGAATGAATATGCACAATAAACATTTTCAAAGGGGAGGAAAACTTTGATTGCTCACACCTGATTGGATACAGTGACATGATAGGTATCCCAAATACCTACAATTGAAAGCTCCCGGTACGAGGCAACAACTATGTGTGATTATACAGCAGGACAGCAGATAGTACCCACGGGAGTCTCAGGGTGAGACTGAAAGCAGGAAGGTGGGGAAACCAATCAGCCAATCAAACAAACAAACAAAAGCCTACCGAGGACAGGGGCTTGGGGAAGTGGCTCAGTTGACAAAGTGCTTGCCATGCGAACAGGAAGGCCTGAATTAGGGTCCCCAGCACCCACGTAAAAAGCCAGGCGCAGCAGTGAGCATATATAATCCCAACACTGAGGGCAGCGGAGACAGGGGGAAAGTCCAGGTTTTGCTGGCCAGCCAGACTAGCCAAATGAGAGAACTCCAATTCCACTGATGGACCCAGCCTCCAAAAATGAGGTACAGAGTGTCTGAGGAAGACACCCCAACTAGACCTCTGGTTCTCACATGTGCGAACACACGTGTCCACGTGCACTTGCAACACAGGTGCACACAAGCACGCACACATGTCCTCCCCGCCCCACATCAGCTCCAAGGACAGAGGAAAACTGTCCACTTCATCATCCGAATGCTGCCACCACGGAGGCATCACTGTTAGGATAAAAAACAAAAACAAAACAAAAAAACGATACCCCATGCAGCTGGCACTTTGATTGGAAAGTTTCTGCTTTATTTATTAATGCAATAAACCTTTATAAATCCAGGTAGTGTTGGCGCACGCCTTTAATCCCAGCACTTGAGTGGCAGAGGTAGGCAGATCTCTGAGTTTGAGGCCAGCTTGGTCTACAGTGCGAGTTCCATAATATCCGAGGACACACAGAGAAGCCCTGTTTTGAAAAACCAAACCAAACAAACAACAGAAACATGTATCATGCACTTGCTTTGATACATCCCATGTGTAGTAGGCTTAGAGATAACACACACTAGCCTCTCCCACCTGGAGGTCATAGAGAACATCGTAGGGCAGGCAGGCACCTCTGTGGCTGCCCAGGGGTCGTAAAAGGTCTACGGACAGCTAAGGGGAGGGGGCAGATGACACCTCACATTCTAAGAAGTGGCTTCTGTAGCTCCGTAGGAGCAGCTGCTAGATGCGGCCACATACGGAAGCTAAACCACCAAGCACACTCTCACCTCCACAGTAATGAACACTTCCTCCAGGTGGCTAGCGAAATTTTCCATCTCAATAATCTGCTGCTCCAATTTGCACATATTTTTGTGAATTTCATCCTGTGGAAAAGAGCAGAACAAATAAGATATTAATGCTATGTTTGGCCCTGTCTTTCTTAAATTAAAAAAAAAATGTGTGTGTATATGGCTGTACGCATGCGTATGTCCATAGAGCATGTGTGCTCCTGGTCACCACGGAGGCCAATAGGGAGGCCATCAGATCCCCTGGGACTGCTGTTAGAGACGGTGTGAGCCAACAGGTGGATGCTGGGAACTGAACCCCAGACCTCTTAACTGCTGAGCCATCTCTCCAGGCCCCCCTTCCATCCTCACAGAGGCATTTAGGATCTATTTCCTACCCACATCCCTGAGACACACATACACTCTCTAGGCAAAGATGGAAGGAGACCTGTTACCTTGGCATTTTCCAATGCTTTGTTGATTGGGGTTACTTCATGTTCCTTGTGTAGATCAAAATCCTTCTCAACCGTTCTTACTGGAGTTTTGCAAGTGACACAGAAGACATCAGCAGGCTCTTCTTCATCCTCCTCCTCTGGGATGACATAGCATTCATACTCCTCGCTGGCACGGCCATGTGTGTACCTGTAGGCTTCCCGAAGGTCTTGGCATTGGTCAGGAAAGCTTTGCCCTCCATAGCCCAGGTCCTCAGCCTCAGCTGCATCCCCACTAAGCCCCCAGTCTCTCTGCTCCCTGGGTAGGTCTCTCCTCCTCATCCCATAAGAAGGGTACCCCAGAGTTCCCAGTCTGTGTTCATCCACAAACTCATCCCCCAACTCATGGTCATCTTCAAACCCGTATAGATGGACAAGCTCGTCTACTTCCTTCTGAAGATTCTTACTGTCCCCTGTCCCCCTTGGCTCATTGGTCAGTTCAGCTTGGGTCAATTCTCCCCTGATCCTGCTGCTTTCTTCTGGGAAGAGTTGCAGTCTATCTTCAGAGTCATACAGGTCCATGTTATAAAAGTGGAAATCTTTGGGGGCTGTTGGCCTGCCCATCCCTGGCTCCTTCCCTGCTTCCTCCTCCATTGACACAGAACAATCCTGCTCAGTCAGTCAGCGGATATTCTGAATCCTAGGATATGGAAGAGATGGGCATCAGTTTCCAAGAAGGGAATCGCAGCGGCTGAGCGTGGGGTTGCATGGGCTCAGATCTCATCCAAGAAGTTAGGCTCACAACCCACCTCATGGCAAACAATTTCACAAAATTGTCCAGGCTGGAGCTGACCTGCAGTTGCTCATCAAAACCACACAGAGACCTAGGTGACCCAAGCCTGGCTGGAGAGCAAGGGGAGGTGGAGACAGTGCTGGAGAAAGCCACGTCAGGAGCACCGCCCCGAGCTAGAGCCACCCCGTGACTTCTTCTCCATCTGCGGCCCTCACAAACCGCGCAAGATGATGGCTACTGATTACCTTAGATCATCGAGTGGTGGAATAATTTGTTACGAAATAATAGTATGCATGATCCCAGCCTAAAAATAATCTTTCCGTTACCGTACCGTTCTCTCCCCCTTTTGTTCATACTCAGGCGCCTTCAAAAGATGGCATGGATAACACTGATTTCCACACCGAGGCTCATGTGTGCATGGGGCTTTCCACGGGGAATGCCGGTACGGATATTATGAAGCGTTATCAGCTTTTAGATCCTCAGGTTAGCATTTAGTTTTTCTCAGAGCTGCTTTGCCTGGGAATTAGCCAGCATCTGAAGTTCTCTTTTCTCAATAGCCCTTCTCTTCTCATAAAAGCAAAAAATATACTTCCTGTTCATTCTGAATATTGCATTGTACAGTAGGATTTCATTGCTTGGGAATTTAATAAAGCCTCCAGGGGACTAGATGAAAGGACAGTTTGGAGTACTGGGTATTAATGCTGAGAGTGAGTGACATTAATGAATGGGTAAGAAAAAAATTTTTTCATGGTAAGTGCTTTCTAGCTCTTTGCTTCCAACAAAATTGCAAGAGGATCTAATCAAGTTGTCAGTTGATATATTATTTAAAATAAATGTTCATGATAGCTCATTATGTAATTTTGACATACATTGTAGAAAGAGCTGAAGGAATAGAATGACATTGTTATAAATTGCTTCCCTTCTCATCTACCTACATAGGCAAGCATGTCCATGCTGCTCACAGGGACAAAATAAAAAACAAAAATACAAATTCATTCCCACTTCCGTTGCATTCTAGGACATGTAATTTTCAAACTTGGGTATGAGCTTTTTTTTTTTTTTTAAGCAAACAAAGTCTCATCCACTTCATTAAAAGCCGCGTTTTTTTGGCTGGAGAGATGGCCCAGTTGGTAAAGTGACCACCACGCCAGCGTGGGGACTGGAGTTGGGATCGTGTAGAAGCCAGGTACAGCTGCACCTGTCTGTAACCCAGCCCTAGGAAGTGGGGAAGAGACAGAGACAGGCAGATCCCTGGAGCTCATTGATCGGCTAGACTAACCCAATTGATGAGCTCCAGCATCAGCGACAGTCTCTGCCACAAAAAAAAATAAGGGGAGAGCGATCAATGAAGAAAACTGACGTCAATAACAGGAACATGTGTACATGTACACTCGCCCTTATAAACACACACACACACACACACACACACACACACACACACACACACACCGATCCCCAAACGCAAAAGTTTTCATTTAAATTACTTACAAAAATTGTAATGTTGTACATGCTCTTTCTGCTGACATTCAACTAAAAATTATGGCGGTATCTTGATTCAGCAGAAAAAAGGAGCTTACTGTTAGAGACTTGTGATTATAAGAAAATAAGGAAAAAAAAACAGCTCCCAAGTCCGACATGCATATTTTTTGTACAACGCGTCTCTGAAGGCTCCACACTGCCTACAGGTTGACATGCGCATTGCCTACGTGTGTAAGTCTATCTCCCTTCGGTGGCTTCCAAGGCCCAAATTGCCTCCCAGCTGTGGAAATTCAACTGTGGTCCCTCTCGTCATGATCCAACCTGGGTCAGTTCAGTCCTTATTATAGTGGATGGTTCTCAACGGAACAATTCAAAGTCTCTTCCAGGAGGCACTGAGTCCTGTTGTCTCAGTCCTGAATGTCTGACTGCCCCGATAATCAGGCATTCCCACTGCATGAAAATAAGCTCTTCCTGCTAATTCCTGCTGTGAGCTCTGATTTGGCATCGTGGAGGAGGAGGGAGAGAAGGAAGAAGAGGACCAGAAATCCAGAAATGAAACACAAGAGGATGAGCACATGGCTTCCCCAGGGGCCGTATCTCAGACGGCAGCAGCAGGAAGCCTAGGCTTTAGATGTAGCCTATCTTTACTCTACCTCGGCCCCTGGCTGCTGCTTCAGCTTCCAGAATGAGGTAAGACCCTACATCACTCCAGAGGTTCAGAAGTTCCGGCACCCCTGCCTTTTAGGGCAATGTGGAATGACCAGGATGTCTGCATTCTCAGAGTTACCATCTGAGGGGTCTTTCGCCAGCCCTGCTGACCTCACCATGTGTCTGGCCTATGGCACTGGGCCTCATTTGTCTGAGCATTGACTGTTCCTGGGGCTGGAAAATTGTAGGCTCCAGAGAACAGGACAACACCAGATGCCAGACACAAGGAGTGCGACATGGGTCCTACTCTTGAGGATGCTCCAGACAATCAAATAAATGATTATCACCCCATCTGGCCCCGGGCCATGGCTTCTCAGCGATGCTGCCTTCCTTCTTTCCTGGTACCCCAGGTCTCTTCTTCTCCCTTAAGCCCAGCCTCTGGTCCCATAGACTAAAATGACAGTTTCCCCCTGAGGCTCCAATGTCACACCCGAGTGCCGCTCTGTAGGCAGAAACAGTCCTTGAAGCCGCCTCTTCTCCAGTCTTCTGAGTGTGGGACCCATGGCTCTTGTTGCTGGGTGTCCCTGCCTGGTAAGGAACTCAGAAGCATGGTCAGCCATCTTGAATTCTGGAAACTCCATCACTGGCCAGCCTCAGCTCTTTTGGACTCCTGGCACAATCCCCATTCCCTGGCTTTCCACTCTCAGAGTGGTGACACACACACTGTCACTAATGGACTTCCTTCGTCTCCTCTCAGTGTCTTCCAGTTAAATCTCACCCAGCTTCTTCCTGGTAAACGCTTCTCACTTCCTTCTCTGCTCCCCTGCCCAGCCAGTACCTGCCACAGCCTTCCTGAAGACCAGCCATTCTAACCACTCATTAATAGTGTGACACTTGCCCCCACCAGCCTTCAAAGCAGAGCTGAACTGGTTGGTATCACGAATAGCAAGTTAATATGAATATCGGCTCCGGGCATGGAATTTGTAGATAATATTCCCCCTGACACGCCCCCTTCCCCTCCCCACGGCCATTGACCTCTGGATTCAGATACCTTTGAGCTTATATTTTGACTCTAAGATAGCCTAACAGTGTGCCATTGTGAAACCAGTTCTCCAGACTTCACTTTCATAGACTTTAAAGCAGGCTTATTAATTAGCTACTATCTCTTTTGGCATTTAGATGCAAGGACGTAGGTCTGTGAACTGTTCTATATATTGCAAAGCTCAGATTAAGCTGTCAATAAACACACTTTTGTTTCTGTTCCTGTTGTTACCACTATTATCATTTAGACCAGCATCTTCCACCTGGGCCAGTTTAGAAGCTTCCTACGTGGACACCTATGGAGACTGAGGACCATAGCAATGTGGAATTGGATGCTCTAGGAACATTTGACCCATGAGAGCAGCTGATGATGGAGAGGGCACCGAGGCTGAGCGCCCTCAAACTCATCTGGAGACACTGCAGAATGAGATCACTGCTCTCCACAAAAAAAAAAAAAAAAAAAAACACCCCAGTAGCCCAGGCAGAGGTTGTGGTATTACAGGATTGAAGGGCCCCTAATTCAATTTCTAGATTTTAATATGTCAAAACTGAGGGTTTTTTGGGGGGGTGGGGGGGTGGAGAGGGGCAAGGGGCCTCTTTATGATCAATTTAACCAGGATTTGTCTGGGCTTCTCTGTATCTAGTGAGCTGACAGCTAGTCACCACCCAGTGAGAGCCGAGTTCCAGCCTCAGGCTTCCTATGCATTGGGATAGGCTCTCTAAAAATAACACTTGCACCTCTCTGTGCATGTGTGTGTGTGAGAGAGAGAGAGAGAGAGAGAAAGAGAGAGAGAGAACAGAGAGAGAGACAGAGACAGAGAGAGACAGAGAAGTGGGGGAAGAATTCTGTATTACACAGACATCCTGACGATAAACATTTTCAACTCGGAGCTAGAGCTCATGGTACCAAATTGAGCCACAGGAAAGATAGCCAGCAAGCAGACTGAGAGTCCTTTAACACGTAAGCGAATAAGCGCACCCCCGTCCTCGCCAGCACAGCCGCTCTGAGCGTGAATGCCACCTGGTCCGCCTGCTCAGCAGCGAAGCATGAGCTGTGCAGCACAGGCTCCAGCACACTGCTCCCCTCTGCTCCTGCACCTCTTAAGTCTCCTTCATTTTCTTAATGGAGTCAGAATGGGGGCAGGGGAAACGCTGACGACAAACTGCCATTTTTTAAAGTATGAAATGAAGGTTTAGGGGAGCAAAGCAGTAAACCGCAGTCATTACTGTACATGTTAGGAGACTGCATCTCTCTGCCGTAACAGCCCAGCTTTAAAAAAAAAAAAAAAAAAAAAAAAAAAGCTGCACAGGAACTGGAGCGCTGCCTCAGCGCTTATTCGTGCTTACTGCTCTTGCGGAGGATCCGGAGGATCCGGGGTGATTCCTAGCACACACTCTGGGCTGCCTTTAATTCCAGCTCGGCCAGGCTCTGATACCTTTGGCTTCCACGGGGACCTGCGCTCGTGTCCACACGTCCACATGCACACACACATAGCCACATAATTGAAAAGAATCTTTTTAAAAGAAGACATTTGTTTCAGTCTTATGTGTGCATGTGATGTATCTTTATGCTTGATTGGAAAAGTCGCCGCTCTCTCTCTTTTCCTTCAAGAATCCCTGCTACATCTAAGAATCTACCGAAGATAATTCCCTAGAGGTGAGACCGTGATGGCAGGGACATCATTTTGCATAT